AGAAGGAGTAGGAGTTAAGAGGCCAGCCTGGCCTACACAGTGAGTCCTTATCCCAACAGAAAAACCAGCCTGGACTACACAGTGAGACCTTATCCCAACAGAAAAAAAAAAAAAAGTAAGAATCATGTGTTACATGTAAAACCTGAAAATTGCTGATAAAAATTGTGATAAATTAGCTGATAAAAATTGGTGAAATTGTGATGAGAAACAGTATATTTTCATAACCTCAGTGAGTGTTCTTCTTCATTTGTATATTAACTACAAGGAGAAAAATAATTGAGATATAGACACCTTACAAAGGGTATTTAAGGTAGCTTTTATGGCTTTTTGATCAGTGCTGGAGCGTGAACGCCAACTTATCCTAACCAGTGGGCACCACTCATTGAAAAAAATCTGTCTCGAAATAAGGGCGAACAGCACCTGAGGAATGTCACTCAAGGTTGACCTCTGGTCTGCACATGCACACATGTACACCAAAAGACACACGGAGTGCATGTGCGCATACACACACACACACACACACACACACACACACACACACCACAGGGCAGTCTTCATTTTTCAGTAATTTTAAACAGTTCATGAAATTTTTAACAGATCATTTCAAATAGGAAAAAAATCAACAGGGTGTGGTGATGCACACCTTTAATCTCAGCACTTGGGAGAGTTCCAGCAAAGCCAGGTCTATACAGAGAACCCTTTCTCAAAAAACAAACACAAAAATAGTGAAAGGGTAGAAGTGTGCCCACAAATTCTTATTTAAATTTGGGATCTATAAAATGAAATATTCTGTCAGCTGTGTCTCAGGGACTTTCAGTGCCTCCTCTAGTCGTTTTATACACTGTTGGGTACCATCCAGGGGTTAATCAACAGCTAACCTGTTATGAGATAACTTACATTTCCTTCAAATTCATATACTGAAGTCCTAATGCAGAAGAGCCATGTGTGCTCACCTTCCCAAATGCATTTTAAAGCTTGGGGACACAGCTGAAGCAACCTGTGTTCCAGCCCTCAGTTGCATGCCCCTTGCTCCCTCTCACCACACCCTTGACAACACACTATTTTGTAAAAAAAATAAAATAAAAAATCATGTAGCACACTCTGTAAGAACTATATTGCTGGGCTGGAGAGATGGCTCAGAGGTTAAGGCCACTTCCAGAGGTCCTGAGTTCAATTACCAGCAACGACATGGTGGCTCACAACCATCTGCAGTGAGCTCTGGTGCCCTCTTCTGGCATGTAGGCAGAACACTGCATACATAATAAATAAATCTTTAAAAAATGGTTTGTTTGTTTTTTTTTAAAGGAACTGTATTGCTGCTTTTAACCCCCGTATTCGATTTATTTTCAAGGATGTTCTTAGTTCTGGGCTCCCCCACAATCACTGGATACGGTAGTTAATTTTAAAATTATTACTTATGGTGAATACTATTTATTCATTCTTTGGGTGATGGACATTGGATTGTTTTCAACTTCGTTTTGCTACTCTGGGTGGCACTGTTAAGAGCATCTTTGTAGATGATTCATAAACATGAGGCATTTTCTAGAGCATGAAATTTCTTTTGTGCATATATGCAACGCTTGGAAAGCCAACAGCTGAAGCTGCTCAGAAGCTGGGGTTTCCAGCTGCCCCCCTGGCCTTCATGGCAACTCCTGGGTTAACAATTTGGGAGGGAGCCAGGCAGTGATGGTGTACACTTTTAATCCCAGCACTTGGGAGGCAGAGGCAGGCGGATCTCTGTGAGTTCGAGGCCAGCCTGGTCTCCAGAGAGAGTGCCAGGATAGGCCCCACAGCTACACAGAGAAACCCTGTCTGGAAAAACAAAAATAAAACAAAACAAAAAGTACACATTTTGGGGAAAAGTTAAAGTACATGAAATTATTTTGATAATTATCACAACTTATTTAACTTATACATATATGTACAAGTCTAAATTAAATGTACAGACATAAATATCATATTTTAACTTCCTGTTTTATATCCTTAAAACAACAGTTTCTGGAAACCAGTGAAAATAAATAAACTTTTTTTCCTCCCCCAAAACAAGAGTCTGGTTGTCCTGGAACTCACTATGTAGACCAGGCTGGCTTCAAATTCAGAGATCTGCCTGCTTCTGCCTCCCAAGTCTGGGACTAAAGGCATACAGCACTATGCTGGGTACAAAAATAAACTTCTTATGTAACTATTTCTGAAGTTTTTTTATAGTTCACATAATCACTCATATATGAAGAATGTCATAGTTTTATTTTTAAATGTAATGTCGTTATTGTTAAAATATTTATTAGTTTACTTACACAATAAATAATAAGTAAGGTACTTCATATTGCCTTTGGAATATGCTTTCTTTTGCCTGTGGCATATCAGTCTGGGATTATCCTGGATGAGTCACAGAGCATTTCAGTCTTATTTTTAGAAATACAGGAATACAGGAGAAGTTCTTACTATAGAGACATTTAAAATAACTTGTCTGGTTTTCTTCAGGAAGGAAAGACATTGTTGAATGTCAGGGCCATCACAGTACCCATTATAAGGTAACTATTTCTTCAAAATGCTTACGGCTATATTTGTCTTCATTCAGTGTATTAAATAACACTGTCACTGGCCTCCATGGAATTTTATGGGGAGGGAATTAGTGAACTTTACCAAGGTAGGTATTTTCCTTCTCCTTCAAAAAGTCATAGCTCCCCGAATATAAACAACCAAAAGGATTCTTTCTGCTCATTTCTTACAAGTTGACTATAATCTGAGACAGCATTCATTTCATGGACAACCATTTTCTACACCTTGTTCTTCGTAAAATATAGAGTCGACAAAAAATTATGACATGCTATATTGCAGTCCAGGTAAGGAAAAAGAATCCATGAGAGACTTGATTATTCAGGTACCAGTAACTTGCTAGATTTGTGGGTAAATTTTATTTTCTTTGCTGATTCAGTGTTTTCTATAATATATGAACACTTTTACTGATAAAAGAGAATTATATGACATTCGATTTCATTTGTGTGTAGTTAATAAAACAGTCTCATTTTAATATAAAGCTTTAAGGCTTCTTTCTAAACATATCTGAACACATATTGCACACCAATAACTCCAGCACAGGAGAGACTGAGGCAGGAGAATCACAAGTTCAAAGTCAGCCTATGTTACATAGCAAAACCTTATCCAAACAAAAAGGAAGAAAAAAGCCGTTGGTGGTGGCACACATAGACGTTTAATCTTGGCACTCAGGAGGCAGATGCAGGAAGATCTAAGAGTTCGAGGCCAGACTGGTCTACAAAGTGAGTTCCAGGGCAGCCAGGGCTACACAGAGAACCCTGTCTCAAAAAATCAAAATATAAAAGGAAGAATAAAGAAAAACAGTCTCAAAAATTGTAAAATACCTAATTGGAAGCTTTATTTACTTGGCTGGAAAACTGAAGGAACACATTTTCACAATTTTAGAGGTGACTTCTGGTCTACTTCAAAGGATTTGGAAATTCCATATAATTTGTATAACCCAATTAAGGCTCTTTTGGTCTGTTTAACCGAATATTTCTTACACTATATTAAAAGAACTAATATTTAGTGATGCCAAGTGCGTTGGTTTTTTTTAAATTAATTTTTAAGTTAGCATGAACAATGGGTTTCATAATGGCACTTTCATGCCTGTTACAGTTATACCTCGTTTTAGGTTTTTTGGTTTTTGGGTTTTTTTTTTTTTTTTTTTTTTTTTTTTTTTTTTTTTTTTTTTTTTTTTTTTTTTTTTTGGTTTTCCAGACAAGGTTCCTCTGTGTAGCCTTGGCTGTCTTGCAACTCGCTCTGTAGGACCAGGCTAGCTTAGAACTCATAGAGGTACACCTTACACACTACAGTTATATCTGGTTCTAATTCGTTCCTCTCCTTCCTGCCTCAGCCCCCCAGGCCCCACCCCTCACTCCATCCTTCCCAAAGAGCCCTGGTTCCCTTCCTCAACTAAATAATCCCTCCTGTTTTGTGCCCCTGATATTCGTTTCCTTGTGTGCCCTTACTTTGTCTGTATGGGTATTTGTTTTACAGTTCTCCAACGTAAAGGAGAAGCTGATGCTTTAAGATCCACTCAATTGCTAATCTCTCATTAGCAATCTTTCCTTTCACTGTTTCTTAGATAAAAAAAAAAAAAAAAAAAAAAAAACCTTCCCTTTAAATCCTCAGGTTAGTTTGCTTCACCCGCAATGAATAACTGCCCCCAGCCCATTTCAGGGTCCCTGGAAACCCGACGCTCCTGCGAGCCAGCCGAGTCCAGTGCCACGGGCGCCTTGGGCTCACAGTCCCTGAAGCCCGGGGGCGAGGGCTAGAGGACGCTCCTCGCCCTCCTGGGGTCCCTGAGGTCTCTCCCAATCTGTCCCTAAATGGTGTTCCCTTTGTTCATTCATTCCACAGCCATGTGATCAATTCAGCCGCCCTTCTCTCTCTCTCTCTCGGAAAAACCCATTCGAGTCTCACTTTCAGCTCTAACCCCGGGCACCGTCACTGCCTCCTAACGACCTCGGGGAGTCGGGAAGAGGAACTTCATCCACGGCCTGGTAAACACAGAATGCAGCCCCTCGATTCGGCTTCACGTGTGTTTGGATACTTTTAAAACGGGTCTTGCCATGAAGTGCAGCCCGGGCTATCCGGAAACTTGCTGCCGTAAGGACTTCAGCCTGCCCGGCGCTACCAGGACTTGCACGCCGGGCTGCAGAAAGGGTGCTCGGCAAGCAGTAGAGCCACGCTCCGTGGTTCCTGCGTCCCCGTCAGTTGTGTACCGCGACGCGCCAAGCCCTCCCCACGCGGAACCAGAAGCCAGCGCAGAGCCTGTCGGGGGAGCAGGCTGCCTTCCACTCCACGCGCCGGGCAGGACGGGCAGAGTCCGCTTCCTCGACTCCACGGGGGAACTACAATTCCCAGTACCGGAGCTACCCGGACTCCCGGAAGCCACGACTCGGCCGACCGGAAGCAGCTGAGACCCAGCCGACGGGCCCAGGGTTAATTCAGCCAGGGAAAGGGGCGGGAAGGGCTGTGGGGCACCTGTCAATTCGCCACTATGAACGTGGTTTTTGCAGTGAAGCAGTATATTTCCAAAATGATAGAGGACAGCGGGCCCGGCATGAAGGTACTTCTCATGGATAAAGAAACGGTGAGTTCGCTTCTGCTCAGTATCTGTGAAGGAAGCCCTCCCTCACTTAGAATTGCTGGTCCGGTTCTCGGTAGGACTTAGCATTTCATTAACGACCGTGGTCACTCCTGAGCATTTCATTAAAGACGACGGTCACTTCTGTCTGGCACTGGGAAAGTTGTCTAAAGCTTCCCTAGTGGGTGTGCAGCCTAACCGGCTCCAGCCGGTGCCAAGAGACTTGCTTCTTGTACCCGAAAGAGTGTCTGCCAAGAAGTTGTTAATGGTGACACAGGGGACACTTGGAAGACTTTAGGGTGATCCTGTCAACGTTGTTTTAAAAAGTAACTTGTTAGAGCTCAAGCTGAAATGACAGGTTATTTGTTGGCCACAGCTTAAGGGCCAGGGGACCTTTGAAGGAATGGAGAAAATCCTCTTTCAAAGTTTCTGAGTTGTTCGTGTTCAGAGAGTAGTAGGCTTCATTCTAACGCATCGCTCCTGTGTTGGATATTCAGTAAATATTATTCCGTGTATTAGCATTTAAGATGCCTAGCCAAGTGTTAATGGAAAAAAAAGGCTTAACTATTGACGAATGTTTCTATTAGTCTGGATTAGTGTAATATTAGTTCATTCTTTTTCTTTACAGACTGGTATAGTGAGTATGGTTTACACACAGTCAGAGATTCTTCAGAAGGAAGTATACCTCTTCGAACGAATTGATTCTCAAAATCGAGAGATCATGAAACACCTAAAAGCAATTTGTTTTCTTCGGCCTACAAAGGTACTACACAAACTGAGATGCCATCTCCGCAGGCAAATGCAGAATACTGATCTGAAAACATTAAGAAGGCAAAATAAATCTGTGTTACCATCGTTTGTGGCATCATAATTATCCCGTTTTGTCAGAGTTGTGATCTTTCTTTCCCTCCTTTCCATGCCTTGGTTCACCCCTGACAGCCAGTTCTTCCTTCAAGATATTTTGTAGATTAGTAGCTATTCCCAAAGCCACTAATGCTGGGAGCGTAGATCGCTTTAGTGCTGGGTTGACCTCCAGACCTAGCACTGAACATCACTGTCACTCTTTCATACTGCTCTTACTATCTTGAACCTTCATCACTTTAATCCCATCTATGTTTAGGAATGAACATGCCTTTGTCATAAAAACAAGAAGTCATCCAGTGATTCCTAGAGTGGCTCAGTCATACTCCTACGATAAATCCAGTAGCCTCACAGGAAAAGTTCCTCCTCCTACCAATTTGGTCTTTTTTTTTACATATTTAACTTGCCGTGCTTAAGTCTATTCCTGCAAGGCAAGTGACCTTTTTCCCTTTTTCCTTTTTTTTTTTTTAAATCATTCCTCTACATGTTTATTTCTGTCCTTTATTTGTTCACTTTACCTAAGAGTTCATAAGCCCTTCCTCAGCTTTTGTCCATCATCTCGAATATCTGGCTTCAGGGCCTTCTTTATACTAAAAACATATTGTGGGGTAGGGTAGTATTGCCACAGGCTCTGTGTGTGCGTGTGTGTGTGTGTGTGTGTGTGTGTGTGTGTGTGTGTGTGATCAGAGAAGAACTTGCAGGAGTCAGTTCTATCCTTCCCGGGGAATTCCAGGACTCAAACTCAGGTTGACAGACTTGGTGGCAGAAGTATTTACCCATTGAGCCATCTCATCTCTCTGGCCCCCTAGCTGGGTTGGTGGTGGTGGTGGTGGTGGGAGGCAGAGGCAGGTAGATCTCTGTGAGTTCGAGGCCAGCCTAGTCTATAGAATTGAGTTCCAGGACAGCCAAAGATACACAGAGAAACCCTGTCTTGGAAACAAACAAACAAACCAACAAAAAACCTTTCCTATGCTTTATTTTTTAATATTCTCTCTTTTTGTTTTTGTTTTGAAACAGGGCCTCACCATGGAGCCCTACCTAACCTGGAACTCATGCTAAAAACCAGGTTGGCCTCAGATTTGTGGCAACCCTCCTGCCTCTGCCGCCCAAGTACTAGGATTGTAAGTGTCTGTCACTATGCCTGGCTTTATTTTCTCTTGGCTCATATTCATGTTTGTCAACTCCACTGTGCTTTTATCATGCTCGTATATTGTGTACTTTCCAAAATGACAACCTGATTATGTCATCCATCTTGAAATCCCTGGGTGGCTTCTCATTGTTTTTATGGTAAAAACATAACCCTTTCTTGTTGACTGCCAAGTCCAGCGTGGTTTAGTTTCTATTACTTTTTGAGCCTCTGCCACTCTGCTTCTTAGCTACACTACCTTTCAACCCACTTACATCCTGATGTTTCATCGTGCCACATGGCTTTTGCGTGGAGTCCTCCCTCTGCCTGAAACTTCTTCATCAAGCAAATATTCACTGGCCTTACTGAGCAGGTCAGGCATCCCTCTTACAAACAATGCCACCTCCCTCTCTGTCACTGGTCACGGTTGTAGGTGTCTGTTTTCAAACAAGTTTTCACTATGTAGTCCTGGCTGGCTGAAATTTGCAATCATCCCCCACTACCCTCAACTCTGCCTCCTGAGTTCTGGGATTACAGGCATGTGATACTTATTGGACAAAGTTATTTGGATTTTGTGATTGATATCTAGTTTATGTACCACAATAAGCTCTGTGATAGCAAAAGTTTTATCTGGTTGTCCATCCTGTTATGTTCCCATGATGCTGGCTACATAAAGATGCTTAAGAAATAGTTGCTAAATTGTTTTTTTCCATATTTGTAGCTTTCACACATGAAATTTTGGTTGTTCAGAGTGGCCTTAGAGATGACCTAGTCTGTTATCGCCTAAGATAAAACAAGGAGTCCTCTTTTATAGCCATATAGGCTCTACCAAACTCTCTTGGCTTCACATCTTTTACCTTTTTACCTGGCCCTATAAAACAGTAATGTTAGACTTAAATTACTTGTTAAGAACAGTTTGTCCTTAAAATTATAAAGTGAGCTTGGCATGGTAGCACGTCTATGATCCCAGAACTTGGGAAATAGAGGCAAGAGGATCTGAAGTTTGAAGTCATTCTTAGCTACATAGTAATTTTGAGGCCTGCTTGGGCTCCATGAGATTCTATCACAAACAATAAGAAAAACAAAACAGGGCTGGAGATACGGCTCAGCAGTCAGGAGCACAATGTGCTGCACAATCATGAAAACCAAAGTTTAGGTCCCAGCACCCACATAACTAGCTGGGCACCCCATAAGCCTTAAACCCAGGTCAAGGGGAGTGCAGGTCATATCTCTGGGACTCACTGGCTTCCAGTGAGAGACTCAGGGAGAGACCCTGCCTCACATGAATGGCCAAGAGTGATAGAGGCGGACACCCGACACCCTTTCCTATCCTCCCAATACATGCACACACACAACAGGTAAATCTCCTCACGACACAGTAGAAATGTTATAAAAATTTATGTCTAGTATATATTTGTATATATAAACAATACACACATATATATGTTTAAAGAGATTCCCCCACTGAGTAGTCATTGTATACTTCGGTTGTTTGCTTGCTTTCAGACAGGGTCTGGCTATGCTATGTCATCCAGGCTGTCTTTAAACCCAAAGCCTCTTGGTCTATGCCTTCTGAGTGCTGGGATTTGTGTGTAGCACCATTCCCAGTTGCACTGAGCATAATTTAAAGACTATTAACAGTGACACAACCAGCAGAGCCTTTTTGTCCTCCAAAATTTTAGTTTTAAGGCTTCATTTAATTTGAAATTCAACCATGTATTCTGGTATCAAAATCTGATTAAGTGTTCATTGAATAGGAGAGATGGCTCATTGGTTAAGAGTGTGTACTGCTCTTACAGAGGACTCTTGTTTGACTCCCAGCATCTGTGTAGGCAGCTCACAACCACCTGTAACTCTGTCCTTCACAGGCAACTGTGCACGTGTACACACACACACACACACACACACACGCACGCACGCACGCACGCACGCACGCACGCACATGCATTCTCACACAAAATTTTAAAATCTTAAAATGACTGATTTTTTTTTACTTCTAGCATTTGTTATTTTATTTTAACATAATATAATTATAGGAGGAGTTTTGGGCTGATACAAATACTTCACAAACATTATAGTTATGAACTCTTAGACCTCAATAAGTTAAAAGCCAAAATGAATATGGTTAAATTATATTTATCCTGTTTGTAAAGAACTATACACATTTTGGTGTTCTAAGTAAGAAATTTGATCACATGAATACAGTTTATTGATAAGCAACTTAAAGCAGTTATATTTCAACATGTGTCCCTTAATTTTACCTTAATTTAACCAAAATAATGCAGATAGCTAATATTTAGCATACATGTATATATTAAATTGTATATAAGATCCTGATATATTTAATGTATTTCTTTTTATTTGCATCCTTCATTACCCAATATAAGTACAATCTTGACCTCAGCATACTGTTAGACTCTAAGTAAGTCAGTTAATGAACTGTGATACTTACTAGTTTTTAAAGTTACATTTATGGAGAGCTGGTTCTCCCCTCCCACAGTGTGGGTACCTGGAGTTCAGCTCAGGTCATCAGACTTGGCAGCAAATGCTCTTATCTGCTGAGCCATCTTGTCAGCCCTTATTACTTTTTACTGAAGCAACTCTGTACATGCTTAATTTGTTCTTTGTTTTCTAGGAGAATGTGGATTATCTTATTCAAGAGCTCCGAAGACCCAAATACAGTATATATTTTATTTGTAAGTATGTTAGTTCACTGTTTTAGTCACATATTTATGTCCCAGCAAGTCTAGGCTATTGAGTGACTTGTATCATCAAGTTCACTGAATTCATCACTTAAAAGCTTGTATATTCAAAGTATTAAAAATGGTGTAGAGAGCCAGGCGGTGGTGGCGCACGCCTTTACTACCAGCACTTAGAAGGCAAAGTCAGCAGGATCTATGTGAGTTTGAGACAGCCTGGTCTACAAGAGCTTCCAGGACAGGCTCCAAAACTACACAGAGAAACCCTGACTCAAAAAACAATAAAAACAACAACAAAAGCCCCCCCAAAAAACAAAAAATCCATGGTGTAGAGACTGGAGAGATGGCCTATGAATACTGGCTGCTCTTCCAGGGGACCAGGGTTCAATTCCCAGCACCCACGTGGTAGCTCATAACTATCTGTAACTCCAGTTTCAGGATATCTGATACCTTCTTCTGGTCTCCACAGATACTCATTGCATACATATGGTGACATACATACATGCAGGCAAAATATACATAAAATAAAAACAATTTGCCTTTAAAAATTAGGTAGTAGTCATCATTCTCAGATTTCCACTCATCAATGATTGCTTAGATAAAAAGTTTTACTTCACTTTGCATTTTAAAAGGTTGATTTATAAGCAGCCAAATTGCATGTTTTTCCTCCATCATCTGTGTTTACTTACTCCTGTGTTTCACTGTGAATTGAGGTATAGAAACTAATTTGTTTGGGGGAAGGGTTATGTGAGTTTATTGAACAATACGAAATGTGTCTACACACCAGATAAATTCATCCCACTTGTCTTGGCTGTTTTATGTGATGAATGAAAGCACACCTCATCAAGCAGTTCTCTCCTGTGTGCCCACATGGGGGCGTGCCTAGGGAAACTCTGGAAATGAACAGGCTCATCCTTCTCAAAATTCATTTGGAGTTTTCTTCCATTCTGCTATGGAAGTTACAGTTGGTCTCCTCTAGGTGTCAACATTGCTCTTTGTAGACTTAGTAGAGTCTGGAGCTGGTTCCAAAACCAGGAGGAAAGTGGGACACTTAGGTTTGACATGGTGGTGGTGCATTCCTGTAAGACTAGCACTCACGCCCAGAGGCAGGCGGCTCATGACCACCCTGGTCTAGTCCCAGGCCAGCCAAAGCCACATAGAAAGACATTGTTTTCAAAAAAGAAGGAAGGGAGGAAGGGAGGGAGGGAGGAAGGAAGGAAGAAGGAAGGAAGGAAGGAAGGAAGGAAGGAAGGAAGGAAGGAAGGAGGGAAGGAAGGAAGGAAGGAAGGAAGGAAGGAAGGGAGAAAAGAAAGAAAGAAAATAGGACATGAGAGGGGTTTTGTTTTGTTTTGTTTTTGTTTTTGTTTTTGTTTGTTTGTTTTTTGAGACAGGGTTTTTCTGTGGCTTTGGAGGCTGTCCTGGAACTAGCTCTTGTAGCCCAGGCTGTTCTCAACCTCACAGAGACCCGCCTGCCTCTGCCTCCCGAGTGCTGGAACTAAAGGCGTGCACCACCAACGCCTGGCTGACATGAGAGGTTTTTATGGTATGGGGATTTAGACATTGTCTAAGTCTTCAACTTATATTTTAGTGTATCTTAGACTCTAGCATATACAACTTGCTTTTACCATATGTTACTATTTAATTATGCCAAAAATTAGCTGGGCAGTGGTGGTGCACACCTTTAATCCCAACACTCAGGAGGCAGAGGCAGGCCTGGTCTACAGAGTGAGTTCCAGGACAGCCAGAGCTACATAGAGAAAGCCTGTCTCTAAAAACCAAACAATAATAATAATGATGCCAAATTTAACCTTAAATAGTATTTTAAAGTTTATAAAGAACTATCTCATAAATTATTTCACTTGAGCCTTACACTATCCAACAGGTAATTTATTTATTTATTTATTTATTTATTTATTTATTTATTTTGGTTTTTTGAGACAGGGTTTCGCGGTGGAGCTTTGGAGCCTATCCTGGCACTCTCTCTGTAGCCCAGGCTGGCCTCGAACTCCCAGAGATCTGCCTGCCTCTGCCTCCAGAGTGCTGGGATTAAAGGCATGCACCACCAATGCCCGGCCAGGTAAAATATTTTTACCTGTTTGTTTCGTTTATTGATTTAATAGTCATAGTTTTTATTTTTTTTTAAAAGTAAGTGTAGATTCACATGCCTGATGGTTTGTGTCCCCCCTCAACAAAAAGAAAAAGAAACAAAACTCATGTTGAAGTTTAATCTTGCTATGAAATATTAAGATGGGACTTATAAGAGGTAATTAATCTGCTCATGATTGATGGGTTAACGTCCTAAAAGAGTCTGCTATGAAACCAGTTTAGCCAAGTATCTGTCTCTTGCCATCTGATGCCCTGCACCTCTCTTCACTGCCAGTAAGAAGGTCCTCGATACATGTGACCACTAAACTTTGAACTAGAGCTATGAGCCAATATACTCTTTTTAACTTACCCAGACAGTGATATTATGCCACTGGCAGAGGAAACAAACTAAAATGATACACAGTTATAAAAACTACAGAAATCTGGAATGCCTTTTACCCAGTCTCCCTATTGTAGCATCTAACATGACAGTAATGCAGTGTCATACCCAGGATGTTAACTGGGACACAGTCAAGCAGCAGAGCCTTTCTGTCCCCACTAGGGTCCTTTTATTGACCATATTCACTTCTACCCCATCAACTCCATCATTAGCTCTGACAGCTGATACTCTTTTCTGTAACATTTGTTATCCTAAGAATGTTCTGTAAGTAGAATAGTACAGTGGGAGCTGGCTTCTTTCATTCCATGTAATTCTCAGGTGGTTGAATATTCGAGTTAATTTCTCTTTACTCCTGAGTAGTATTCCACTGTCTGTTCTACTCACCACCGAGGACTTCTGGGTTATTCCAATTTGACTGCTTGAGATGCAGCTGTTATAAACCTCTGAACAGGATTCCATGTGAACATAGCTAGCCTTCATTTATTTGGGATGAATGATAATCAGTAGCACAAATGCTGGGCCATATGGTAATGGTATGTTTAGTGTTTTTCAAAGTAACCCTGCTAACAATGACAGGGTGGCTCAGTTTCTTTGCATCCTTGCAGTCATTTGATGGTGTTGACGCCCATTTTAGCCAGTGTGATTGATAGGTGTGCACCTCTCCCCAGCAGCGTGGTCCTGGAAACCTTAGAGTGGTGAGGAGATGAAGAAGGGACATACCCAAAGACCTATGTAGAGCAAAGCTGGGGTCAGATGGGCTGTGTGCACTCAGTGGAGCAGTACCAACTGGGCAGCAACCAAGAACCTTACCAAGTTTATTATGCTCAGGGAGGAGCGGCAGGCACATGGCTTAGACAGCTTCCTACGAGGTCTCTATAGGAGAAAAAGCAGCCTCAGGTTGCAAACATATGGTGAAGAAAGCTGCAGATGCTAGTCTTTGGTACACACTGACAACATTCTTTTGTTTGTTTAGTTTGTTTGTTTTTTTCAACATAGGGTTACTATGTGTAACAGCTCTGGCTGTCCTGTGACTAACTCTGTAGACCAGATGTCCTCAAACTCGCAAAGATTGGCCTGCCTCTGCCTCCTGAGTGGTAGGATTAAAGGCGTGCGCAACCGCCACCCGGTTAACACAGCCAACATTCTAACTCCCACCAGAGGAAGGTTTTGCTCTCCCTCTGATCCCCAAGACGAGGCTTTGCTAATTTCCCATGGATCCAAGGCATTACTCCTTGAAATGGCCATGTTCATGTATAGTCATTTTAGTATTTTTTTAGTCAAATTACAGCCTCAGTTCTAGATATGTATATATAATTTATATGTTTCCCCGAGTTCTATATTAAGTCAGTATATAATAGAAGCACTCATTTTCTGGGTTTCTTTAATAAAAATGGAATAGCGTCATGCAGCCTCACTTCCTCCACACAGTGTCCCTGCATAACAAAGGATAGCAGAGGAAAAATTACATTAGTACTAAATTTATAAAATACAAACTTGAAATTTGTTGGGTATGGTGATCAATTTTGGAATTTTATTTGGTTAAAGTAAATTAAAATAAATTGATATTTAGTAATTTTATTCAATATAGGCTTTTAGCACAATTTAAGTTAACACTAAACTGGCCTTCTGTTCATCTCATTTTTAATAATTTTAGGTATACAAGTCTCTTATTTAACAGGCCTCTTTTATTTTAAAGTACTTTAAAAGCATTATGGAAAATGTTAAATGAATAAAAGTAAAATAGTGTGATGGATCCTAGAGTACCCAGCCACACCCAGTCTTGTTTGAACTATGCTCCCATCTTCTACCCGCCAATATTTTTTAAACAAATCTATGATGCCATATAAGTTTTATCCATTAATATTACAGTATGCATCTTTAATAGAGATTCATCTAATAAAATGAAAAGTAACTCCTAGTTTTGTGAAGTCAATTCAATGTTTATGTTTCAAATTCTCTCATCTCTCTTTCCCTCTCTTTCTGTCTTTGAGTCAAGATCAAAGTAAGATCCACTTATTAACCCTTACTGGTCAGTATGTTGAGCTTCCCCGATCTTCTGTAGGTCCTCTTCTTCTCCCATGCAACTGGTTTACTGAGGAAGCAGTTACATTTTTCTACTGGTTGGATTTTCCTGATGTCATCACTGTAGGGTAGCTTACATATTTCTTCAAGTTAAAGATGTTCCTTTATCTGTGTATGTAAGTGGATAAAGAACCTGACATGAATTAAGTTTTGGGTTCTTTTGGCAAGAATACTAAAAAGGTGATGCTGTATAGTTTCTCTGGTTGCTTCTTCTATTGTTAGTGAAATCAATTTCTTCTATATTGTTAGTGAAATCAATGTTTATAGATTGATTATTCAGTAGAAGTTGGAGGGGGAAGTATTCTGTCATTCACAATCCGTGGGGTTTTTAGATGAAATGTTTCTATTAAAAAAGAAAACAAACTCCTGTCGTCTCTTATTTGATATAACTTAATATAAAGAGGACAAAGGTTTACTTCTTCCCTGTGTTTGCTGTTTAAGGTAGCAGTCTGAGTCTGCAGTACCCTCTGAAGTCAATGAAGTCTTTTTTTGACAGTATTAATTTTTGGATTTAAACATATCTGTACTCCTCACTCCAGCCTGAAGGTGTGTGACTTTAACATGAACCAGTGTGTGCTAAATTTCGCTGATTCGTTAGGCTTTACCTTAGGCCTGTATAAGTCTAATTGCAGCAAAACCAATGCCATTTGAGTTAAATGCAATGTGTCTGTCTCAGATTTCAGTAATGTGATCAGCAAGAGCGATGTGAAGTCCTTAGCTGAAGCTGATGAGCAGGAGGTTGTGGCTGAAGTTCAGGTAAATGTGTGGGTCCTGGAACCTCCCTTGTATTGTCGCCATTATAAGATTTTAGTTCAAAAAAGGGAAGGTGCTGTATGACAAAACAAAATAAATGTACACACACCATACTAGACTTATGTTTAGAAAATTTGGGGGAGGCATTAAATTGGATAGAAATAGAATTAATGGAATCGGTGGAAAAGATCAAAGAGGGCTGATGAATTGGTGGGACGTTTTCATAGCTGGGGGACAGAGTCAAGTGTGCTCTTTGTTAGTTTATGAACCTCACTTTAAAAACCTTCATCAATAAGCCGGGTGTTGGTGGCACACACCTTTAATCCCAGCACTCAGGAGGCAGAGGCAGGCGGATTTCTGTGAGTTCGAGACCAGCCTGGTCTCCAGAGTGAGTGCCAGGATAGGCTCCAAAGCTACACAGAGAAACCCTGTCTTGAAAAAAACAAAAACAACAACAACAAAAAAACCCTTCATCAATAAGACCATGCCACATTGGGAGAGAATAGGAATCAAAGGCTGTGCATGAGATTTCTTAGTATTCTGAGAGACTCATACTGTCATGTTACTAGTCTGTCACTTGGAAACGCCTAAGCATTTATTTTGTATGCTACATAATATATAACATTAGCATGTATAATGTTATTTTTCCTTCTTTAATAGTTCAGTGTTCTTGAATACATCTATCATAAATATTTAAATATATTTATCACTTACATGAAAAGTACTGTCTTCACAGGCAATAAATAAGCTAGTTTTACATTTTTCTAAAAGATATTCTAAGTGGTATAACATATAAAAAGAATGACCTATTTTAAATCACATCCTCCCACACAAGTATGCTGGGTAGATAACATGGTGTATCCTACGGCAATGTTTTATTTATTTTACTAATTAAAATTTACATTGATGCATATACTTCAACTTTTTAAAAGATTTATAATTTCTGGTATTTATAGTTAGTTCAGTTCTCCCATACTGACCATTGTTACTCAGTTATTTGAGCATCTTGTACTTCTTCAACCTGTATGTTCCCATTTGATTATAGTACTTGATACACCTGGAGTCCATAGCACTCAGTACACCTGGAGTCCACAGCACTCAGTAGTACACCTGGAGTCCACAGCACTCAGTAGTACACCTGGAGTCCACAGCACTCAGTACTCCTGGAGTCCACAGCACTCAGTAGTACACCTGGAGTCCACAGCACTCAGTACTCCTGGAGTCCACAGCACTCAGTAGTACACCTGGAGTCCACAGCACTCAGTACTCCTGGAGTCCACAGCACTCAGTAGTACACCTGGAGTCCACAGCACTCAGTAGTACACCTGGAGTCCACAGCACTCAGTAGTACACCTGGAGTCCACAGCACTCAGTACACCTGGAGTCCACAGCACTCAGTACACCTGGAGTCCACAGCACTCAGTACACCTGGAGTCCACAGCACTCAGTACACCTGGAGTCCACAGCACTCAGTACACCTGGAGTCCACAGCACTCAGTACACCTGGAGTCCACAGCACTCAGTACACCTGGAGTCCACAGCACTCAGTACACCTGGAGTCCACAGCACTCAGTACACCTGGAGTCCACAGCACTCAGTACACCTGGAGTCCACAGCACTCAGTACACCTGGAGTCCACAGCACTCAGTACACCTGGAGTCCACAGCACTCAGTACACCTGGAGTCCACAGCACTCAGTACACCTGGAGTCCACAGCACTCAGTACACCTGGAGTCCTTAGCACTCAGTACACTTGGAGTCCACAGCACTCAGTATACCTGGAGTCCACAGCACTCAGTAGTACACCTGGAGTCCACAGCACTCAGTACACCTGGAGTCCTTAGCACTCAGTACACTTGGAGTCCACAGCACTCAGTATACCTGGAGTCCACAGCACTCAGTAGTACACCTGGAGTCCACAGCACTCAGTACACCTGGAGTCCACAGCACTCAGTACACCTGGAGTCCTTAGCACTCAGTACACCTGGAATCCATAGCACTCAGTACACCTGGAGTCCATGGATTAACTGATTTTGATGTTTTTTATTTACAGGAATTTTATGGTGATTACATTGCTGTGAATCCACATCTGTTTTCCCTCAATATTTTGGGTTGCTGTCAGGTATGGAAGACAAGGATTTTCAAAATAAGTTAATCAAGTGGAAATTAATTCAAGTAACTGGAGTTAGAGAAAATTAAGATATTTTCTTTTAATATGTTTTTAACAAAAAGGGCCGAAATTGGGACCCAGCCCAGCTAGCCAGAACAACTCAAGGACTGACAGCTCTGCTTTTGTCTCTGAAGAAGTGCCCCATGATTCGCTACCAGCTTTCATCAGAGGCCGCAAGGAGACTTGGAGAATGTGTTAAGGTGTCGTATTCCCTGTTCCTGGTTCTAAAACCTCAAGGCTAATCAATTCCCTGTAATAGTTAAGAAATATCTGAAATGCTAGATGTGGTGGTGTATGCCTTGGCAGGCAGATCTCTGTGAGTTCAAGGTCAGCCTGGTCTACATATCAAGTTCCCATGCCCTGTCTCAAAAAAAAAAAAAAAAGAAAGAAAGAAAGAAAAAAGAAGAGGGAAGAAAGAATGAAAGACAGAGAACAAAGAATATCTTCTTTGTTAGTTTTATTAGCAAAGAAGAATGGCTATATAATTAAAAAAAAGGAACAACTTAGCACTAAGACCCTCAGACTGAACCTAAGAAATAGTCACAGCTGTTTAAGTCAAGGAGCCCAACAAACCCACTTGTAAAGTAGGGCTTCAAGCCCTGAATGTATAATAGTGTGCTACAAAACTTTATGAAGACTTTGAATCCTTTATGGAGGCCTGTGAGGGTGGAAAAACTGCTACCTGTGTTATTATTCGCTTCCTATTTTGTCATCTCTACTTACAGCTAACCAGTTAACCAAAAAAATTTTCTCTTTTATCCTCAGCAAGTGATAAGTAAAGAATATGAACTCTTTGAGTTCCGGCGAACAGAAGTTCCTCCACTGCTTCTCATTCTAGACCGCTGTGACGACGCCATCACCCCACTGCTCAACCAGGTGCCTCCAGAGCCCTTTGTTAGCATAGAGGATGATGATTTGAGTGGAGCTCATTAAAATGCAAATATGGAAATAGCATATTTCACTCTATTCACCTCCTTGTTTCAGCTGCTCTTGGGTTTTGCCTTATATTTTCTGGTGTTTTGGTGCCCTGTTTTTCCAGCCCCGGTCATTCATGCTGGTTTCTGCCTCTTTCTTATCTATCTTCTGCCACTGTCGCACTCGTATCAGGGCAACTTCTAAACTCTAGTGTTTCCTGTGTCTTTCCAACCTTACTGCTTGTGCATTGGTGTGATCCCATCTTTCAGTAACAGTGAAACAAGCATTTATACAAGTCCTTCTTTTGATTTCTCTTCGATCTATATTCTGCAAAACCAAGGTTGTTAAATGACAGCTCTCAACTTAGATTACAACTCCTGGCCTAAAAATCTTTGTTGTTTCCCATTTACCTACTGGATTAAAATAAAAGCACTCCTAATTTTGGCACCCAAGCGCCTTCAGGATGTGTACCAAATTTCACCTAACACCTACAGTTCTCTGCAAGCCACACTACATGATTTCTTGCCATTACGGTTTCAGTGTGACCGCTGTCTAAGCTCTAGGACATCTGGGATACCTTTTCTTCCCCACTTTACCTGTCAAAACATTTCTCCCTTGAAACCTCTCGGAAGTCAGAGAGCAGCTTCTCAAAGACTGCTTCAGTCAGGCACTGTTGGCTTTCTCTCTCGAGCTGTGTAGAATTGTCTCAGGCTTCATGCTGCTGTTGCTAAATTGCACCTTTGGTTGTTTGGACACTGTCTTAGGTAATACACTACTAAGGCAGCCTGTGTCCCTTTGTGTTTATTCTTCTGCAAGTTAAGCAGTTCCTTATATGTAGTGATGTTCTATGAGTGGCAATTTGTCTTATTTCTTCTCAGCATAGAGTACTGTCAATATTAGGGTGATCCATGGGAACAGAGCTCCTCTGTAGTATGAGGTAACATCTGGCCACTAAAGGAAGAAAGGGAGGGAGGAAGGAATGGAGAGAGAGAAAAATGACTCAGTAGCTGAGAGTATATACTGCTCTTGCAGAAGACTTGAGTTCTCTTCCCAGCCCACACACTGTGCAGCTCATAGCCACCTTTATCTCCTGCTCCAAAGAAATCCAGTGCCCTGCCTGGCCTTTGCATGCACAAGTCCACACTCAAATTTACATAATTAAAAAATAAAAATTAAATCTTTTTTTAAAATAGTAGAAAAGTAATTATCTATAAATCTATATCCCCCCCCCAAAAAAAAAAAAAAACACATTTCACTGAGAACCTCTTGTATTATGTGTAAGGGTTAAAAGATAGAGTCTCTTGCTCTCAAAAATCCTATGTCTTAAGAAGAGAAGAGAAAACAGATTTTACATGTAGAGCAAGCACTGTGGTAGAACCATGATGACAATGTCCACTTTACTGTATTACTGTAAATGCCCGAAGGGAAATGGCTTACTCAGAATTCTCTTAGCAAATCTCTATTTTATTATTGTTTGTTTTAATTTGTTCTAGAGATGAAAAAAATCCTTTTATGTTTTCTTTCTTTTCTTCTATGTATATGGATATTTGCCTATGCTTGTGCCTGTGTACCACCTTCATGCCTATTGCTCATGGAGACCAGAAAGAACATTGGATCCCCTGGAACTGGAGTTATTAACAGTTGTGAGCTGCCATGTGGGTGTTGGGAAATGAACCCAGGTCTTCTGGAAGAGCAGCCAATGCTCTTAACCACTGAGCCATCTTACCAGCCCTTTGGCAAATCTTTTAGGCAATAAAGCACCTTCTTGGGCTAGAGAAATGCTCTGTTTTTTTTTGTTTTTTTTTTTTTTTTTGAGACAGGTTTTCTCTGTGTAGCTTTGGAACCTATCCTGGCACTCGCTCTGGAGACCAGGCTGGCCTCCAACTCACAGAGATCTGCCTGCCTCTGCCTCCTGAGTGCTGGGATTAAAGGCGTGCACCACCAACGCCCGGCTGAGATGCTCAGTGTTAAGAGCACAGGCTGCTCTTCCAGAGAACTCAAGTTCATTACCCAGTACCCTTAATGGGCAGCTCACAATTTCCTATAACTCCAGACCCATAGCATCTAATATCCTCCTTTGGATTCAAAGGGTATCCACACACATGCAACACACAAATACACAAGTAAACAAATTCTAGAATATTTTCCTTTATTACATGTTAAATTCTTTCTTTAAAAAAAAAAAAAAAAAACTATGTATCTGAGCTTTGCCTGAATATATGTCTGTGTAACATAAGTGTGCCTGGTGCCCATGGAGACCAGAAAAGGGTGTTTGATCCCTGGCAGTGGAGTTACAGACAATTGTGAGCTGCCATGTGGGTGCTGGTAATTAAACCTGGGTCCATGGAAAAGCCAGTGCTCTTAACCTCTGAGCCATCTCTCCAGTTTCCTTAAATTACTTCTTAATAAATTTAGTTTGTTGTATATACATATAAGCATCTCTAGCATTTGATTTTACATTTAATAGTAAATTGTTAAAAGATACTTAGCTTTGTAAAAATCCACTCTCCATAGTGATAAGAAGGCAGATTTGTGTTTTTAACCAAACAAATTTACATTTTTAAAGGCTGGAACTCAATCTTTCTTCACAATTCATACTCAGTTAAAAACAGATAAAATGGATTCTGAGGCAAGTGTCTGATTATGCCAGTGTTTTGATTAACTCACAAGGTTTTTTTTTCTGATAATATTAGTGTTCCCGGGATAAATATAGCACCACTCAGATCTGCAAGAACACACTTCTCAGGCAGCAGAAAACCACAGAAGCATGCAGGAAGTGGTACTGCTTGTAACTGCAGTACCAATATAGCCCTATCTGTGAAGCCAAAAATATACTCTTAATTCACAATCAAAAAGCTAATGATAGCTATAATTATTTTCTTTCTATCAAGAACCTTAATCTTGTTGCATTTTCTCTAAAGTGTGAAATATAAAAGTATTTTGACTTTTTTGAGTGTTTAAGCAATTAAAATGACAATCTTAATACTTACTAGAGAACAAAGTATTAATAAAAATATGAGCTAAATAGAGAAACTTGGTATGAAACAGGCTAGTTATTAAGAATGTTATCACTCTTTGTTTTCCTAAACACTTGATATTTCCATGTTTTGTCATATTCCTTTAGTGGACATATCAGGCCATGGTCCATGAACTACTGGGCATAAACAACAACCGGATTGATCTTTCCAGAGTGCCAGGAATCAGCAAAGACTTGAGAGAGGTGGTCCTGTCTGCTGAAAATGATGAATTCTATGCTAATGTAGGTGCCCTTAATTTTTAAGTTGTTTTTATGTAAGGTATCAGTACTGGCTTGTGAGAACAGGGGCGCGTAAGGGTTTCTTGCAGTGAGACTACATCTCAGGCTAGCCAGAGACTCAGGGGCTGGCCTTGGCAGTGTTTTTTTTTTTTTTTTTTTTTTTTTTTTTTTTTTTTTTTTTCATAGTGTTCACATATGTATTGACTTTCCTCTCCTCTGCTAGCTGTTTATGAGAATAATCATGGTATTCATCACTAGAGTCCTGGCTAATGTCCAGACTTAGTAATTACAGTGGAATTTGTCTTTCAAGTCTGTGTTCAAAATCCTTTCTCACTTCTTTTAGGACGTCTGAAAACCAGGCTAGTTTTGAACTTTCTTCTGACTTCTTTTTTCACAGAACATGTACCTGAACTTTGCAGAGATTGGTAGCAATATAAAGAATCTCATGGAAGACTTCCAGAAGAAGAAACCAAAAGAACAGCAAAAGCTTGAATCCATAGCAGACATGAAGGTAAATCACACACACACACACACACACACACACACACACACACACACACACACACACCCAGATGACTTACACACGAGTCTTTAGGACTATTTATGTAGGCAACATTTTTGGAATATTCCAGGTCTAATTTCTATTAAGATTGTTTGCTTGTGTATGAGTTTTGTAGGATGAATTGTAGTATTTGAAACTGTCTGGTCATTGTTGTGTAGCTCAGGCTAACCTCAAGCTGGGGAGATCCTGCCTACACCTCCCAAGTGTTGGAATTCCAGATGTGGGTTATCATGCCTGGCTTCTTGTTTGTGTTGTTCTACTTTGTTTTTAAAATGCATTTATTACTACAGACCACACTGTAGCTATGTGGACCTGGCTGGAACTCATGGCAGTGTTTATGCCTCAATCTCCCCAGAGCTGCAATTACAGGCATTGCTCATCACATCCAGCAAGCAAGTCACCTTGTTTAGTTCAAGACATTTTCTACAAAGTTTCTCTTTAATAAAAGCATGGTGACACATCCATCATAAGTCATGTATTTCTTTCCAGTCTCAGTTATGCCTGGCCTCTATAAAGACCCTAAGGATAAGTGCCAGCTTTTCTCTTCCCAAGACTAATAAATGCCATCGTGGGTACCTTACCCTGGGCAGGAAAGTAACCCCAGCTTTTTACAGTCTTTCTTTACACATGCCTATTCTCATTTGGAATGTGACAGCGTCCCCCATTCATGCTTCTTCCATAACAGGCCTTTGTTGAGAACTATCCACAGTTCAAGAAGATGTCTGGGACCGTATCAAAGCATGTGACAGTGGTCGGAGAACTGTCTCGGTTGGTCAGTGAGAGGAATCTGCTGGAGGTTTCAGAGGTTGAGCAAGAACTGGCCTGTCAGAATGACCATTCTAGTGCTCTCCAGGTCAGTCTAACTGGTGAGCACCTACTGTGTGTGAACACTGTGCTGGGCAGAGAAAGCTGCAAAGGCGAGTAACCCTTCTTCACCATCATGGAACTTGGCTTACTACAGAGTTATGAACATATTTAAGATGGGTGTAAGCCAGGTGTGGTAGCCCCCAACTATAATCCCAGTACTTAGGAGCTGAGGCAGGAGTACCACAAGTTTTTAAAGCCTAAATATGCAACTTAGTAAGACCCTGCCCCAAAATAAATTAAAAAAAGATGAAGATGTAGCCTTATGTTCAATTCCCAGTGCTACTAAAAAGGAATTAGTTACTAAAGATCACAATCATGATATCATGCTATATATAAATGCTATGATGATGATGATATAGAGGAATGAAGATAAATAAGACACCATCCTTCTCAGTGTGTTAACACTATAAGAAGAAAGAAAGTAATTTTAAAGAATTGTGGCTACAGAGATGGCTCAGAAGTAAAGTGTTTAATGCTCAATATGAGGATCTGAGTTCAGATCACAGCACACACATAAAAAGCCAGGTGTAGTGGTGTATACCTGTAATCCCCGCACTAGGGACAGAGAGGTAGGCAGATCACGGGATGTGATGCCGCCCAGTCTAGCCAGTTGGTGAGCCTCATGAGAGCAATCTAGGAGAGGCGCCAGCATCAACCTCAGGCTGCTCCATGGTGCATCCATGTGCATACACCCCTGACTGACACAGGTGTGCATACTCACACTAACAAGTACACAAAAATGATAAGGAACTATAGTCTCATGTGGTAAGTATGTAACCAAGGCCTTCCCAAAAGCACATGGAAATACAGAGGAAGAACAACTGTTTTCCTCAATGATGACCTTTCAGATTCTTGATGAAGAGGATGTGAAAACTAGTTTGGACAGACAGATAAGTTAGAGTACATACACCAAGCAGAGGAAAAAGGTGCAACACTCTCAGCAGGGAGAAACGGACATGGAGCTGTGAAAACATGGGCACCAGTACTGCACAACTAGTGGAATACAAAGCCGAAGAATGGTTTTTTGTTTTTTTGTGTTTGTTTTGTTTTTCCAGGCAGGGTTTCTCTGTGTAGGTTTGGAGCCTGTCCTGGAACTAGCTCTTATAGACCAGGCTGGCCTCGAACTCACAGAGATCCGCCTGCCTCTGCCTCCCGAGTGCTGGAATAAAAGGCGTGCGCTGCCACCGCCTGGCAAGAATGGTCATTAGATAAACTAGAAAGATAGCTTGAAGGGCAGGGGCGATAGCTCAATGGTGGAGAGCTTGACTGGCTGTTCCAGGGTCTGGGTTCAATCCCTTATCTCACACACACACACACACACACACACACACACACACACACACACACACACACACACACACACACACACACACACACACGAGACACACACACGAGACAGACAGACAAAGAAAAGGACCGCCTTGTGGTATAGAAAGGAGGTTGTGTGTCAATTTTAAAATGATAGGAGTCACCAGAGGATTTTAAAAGAAAAATTATATAACCAGACCATAACCTTAAGAAATATATAGTATGATCGAGTAGACAAAACTAAAACACAAGAAAAAAATTACATAATGTTTCAGGATATTATGTCAAAACTGTGATTCTGACCATAAGTAGATAAGGTTATTAGGAAGCTTTTCTTAGAGAAGGAAATGTTGAAGTGGACTTCGAGGAATGACTAGAATTGGGAGGAGGAGGAGTTCAATCAGGAATAACAACAAAGCAAAGATGCATCGGTGTGCAGGAAATAAGAAACTATTAAGAGTGGGGCGGAAGAGAAATAGGAGGTAAAATTGAGTTGGTAAGCAGGAACCGACTTTGGAAGCGTCTAAGAGTCTGCTTGGTGAGATAGGCAGAGATCTGGTGTGGGTCTTAAATGAAAGTCAGCCAGACAAAAGCAGGGCTGTAGAAAATTGAGTCTACTTGGGATGCGTGAGAAGTAAAAAGAGGCTTGTAGACTTTCAGCAACAGTGATAAATAGTGAGGGGCAAGCCCAGGAGAAGAGAGGAAGCAATGGTGGATTCAAATTAGGCAGGATGAGCAGATAGAGGTAACGCCAGGTTCCCAAGAAATCCTGAATCATTCTGTCAAAATGACAGAAAACAAAAATGACTCATCTGTATATAATACCATTGAAAAAAGATAATTTAGGAATAAGTCCTTGGAGAGGTAGTAATTTCTGAGCCACCTACAACAATCACATTTCCCCATTAGTATTCTAAAACTTACCTTCTCTTCCTCTACCTAATTAAATAAAGCCAGCCAGGTATATTGGATGTAGCACAGGCTTTGGGGCCATACTGCCCTAGCTTTGGGGAATGTTCTATTCACCAGCATTTCCTTGGGGAAATAGCAACTTCAGGTTTCTATGTCACAATGAGGATTCAGTGTGACACATAAGATGCTTGGTGACATTGGCTTCCTCATCCTAAACAGTCTGATGCACAGTAGAACTGAATGGTAGCAGTACATCTGGTTGCTCCAGTCCACCAGCCTTTACTGGAATCCATAGGTCTTGCTTTTAAGTTTTAAATGTTTATCAAGATTTTCTGAAAACACTTTAAAAATCATAAAGATGCCATTTGCTTTATGGTTCTTCATTACTCTTTTTATATTGTCCATGGTCAGTAAATCTTCACAAAGAACTCGGTTCTTGAGACTGACATTATATCTTAATTCTTAAGCATATTGTAAATATAAGTTGGAAGAGGTGTACAGTAAAACTGAGTCTGCTAACAGTTTCATGTACCCTTACAGTTTTTTGTAGGCCATGTGTGTGCATATTTCTGTCCATTGTTTGAAACAGGATCTCACTATGTAGCCATGGCTGGCCTGGAACTCCCTCCGTAGACCAAGCTCAGCTAGCCTTGAACTCACAGAGATTCACTTGCTTCTGCCTCCCACATGCTGGGTTTATCTCTTTTTTTAATTCACGTGGTACCATAGTCTACAGAGCCTTCATTTTGTTTTCTCATTTAACCATGTATTGAGACTTCAGATTAGAACCTTCAGTTTTGAGTATTTTGATTTTATTTTCTTAAAAATGTGTTTATCCTTTGACAAGTTCATATATGTATATATAATATATTTTGGTTGCCTCCTTACCCTGTCATCCTCTTCCTACCTTCACTGAACCCTTTCTTTTTCCCAACATATCATCAGCTTTCTCTCTCTCTCTCTCTCTCTCTCTCTCTCACCGTTAACTTTCTTGCTTGAGCATGGCAGTGAGTTCTTTACTAGGGCTTAGACAACTTAGCAATAGCTACACAACTGAAGAAAATGGTTCCCTACCCCCAACCCCCAGCAACCGTTAACTACCAATAACTCCTCGAGGAAGGCTAACCCTCGTGAGCCCCTCTATCCGTGATGGCATGCAGGAGGGCTCATCTTGTATAGGTCTGGTGACGGTGAGCACAGCTGCTGTGAGTGTGAGGAAAGCCTCGTTGTGTATGGCACTCCTCCCTGTCCTACTGCCCTTCCATTCTCTGTCTTTTAACATATTTGTATGTGTGTATCTGTGTGTGATGTGTTTATGCGTGTGTGTGCCACCACATGTATGTGCGTGTCAGAGGACAACTTGGTGGAGTTGGTACTTTCCTGCTTCTTTTGTGGTTCCTTGCTACCAAACTCAGGTCACCAAGCTTATACAGCAAGCACGTTTACTTGCTAAGTCACTTTGCCAGCCCCCGGCTCTTGGACTCTGTCTATCCCTTCTCCACAGTGCCCCTGTGAGCCTTGGAGGAGGTGATAGAGAGGCCTTCTGTAGGTGTGAGCACTTAGCTTTGGTTTTTGGGGTTTTTTTGTTTTTGTTTTTTATTTGTTTGTTTGAGACAGGGTTTCTCTGTGTAACAGCTCTGGTTGTCCTAGAACTTGCTTTGTAGGCCAGGCTAACCTTGAATTCACAGAGATCCACCTGCCTCTGCCTCCCAAGGGCTGGGATTACAGGTGTACGTACTACCACCCTGCTTAGTTTTGTACTTAAAAAAAAAGATAATATGTACTTTAAAAAATATGAACTCTAGCCTAGACAATGCTCATGCGTGTCATCCCAGCACTCAGGAGTGTGAGGTAGAAGGATTGCCATGAGTTTGAGGCCAATCTGGGATGAGGAGGAGACCTTAACTCAAAAACAAACAGGAAAGAACTCTATTTGTGATCTGATCACTGTTTGGAACTTATATTTTTAAGGTTTCTTGTGGGATGTTAGAATTGTACAGGCAGCAGTAGTTGGGCTCACCGACCACAGAGAATTTCTTTGTAACATGATTTAAATAGTCCATAAAGGGAGCTTTTGTTTGATAGTAAGTGGATGCCAGGGGCCTAACCCCAGATGACTTGACCTTAGATAATAATGTCATGAAGCAATGCATTGAAGTTTTTGAATAGAGACGGGGTTTGCTTTATTGAATAGTAAGTGTGTCATGCACGGTAAGAAAAAATGCTCATATAGCCCACATAAAAATTAACCTGTGCCATTTCTAACCAGTTAGATAAAACCTAACAGGAACTTGATTTAGGAAGAATTTCATTAGAAACAGTGTGGTGTGCTACCATTGGAGCACATGTATGTCCCCAGAAGGGAGTGGCTTGACTAGGAGGTGAAGATTTTCGTGTCATGAAGAGAAATATCATCAGGAAGAAAGCATTTCTAGCCTGCACCTATGTTATCATAGCATAGCTCTTCATTTGGAAGAAAGAGCTGGTCTGTTTTACACCCTGTTCCCTGACCTTGGGTGAAAATCTCAAACCACTGCTAATGGCATATAGAAAAATGAGGAGACAGAGTCCTGTTTGAAGCCACATGGAATAGCAGCAGAGAACTTGAGCCTTTGATGATGAGTTTGGAAATGATTCTTAACTGCTCTAAACCCCAGTCCTTTTGTCTATGAAATGTGAGAAAATACTACATTTATTATACATGATGACTGTCACTGGTATATGCAATAATGCTTAATAGCACAGTCTGTTTTTCTTTTGTTTTTATTTTTCACATTTATTTTGTGTGTGTGGGGGGGTGTGTGGGTGTGTGGGTGTGTTTGTATGCACAAGTCATGAGTCAATTGTGGAGGTCATCAGGAATTTGTTCTCCTTCCACCTTGTGGGTCCTAGGAATTGAACTCAGGTCATCAGGCTTGACAGCAATTACCTTTATCTGCTAAGCCATTTCATTGGCCCATCTTTGGGTTTTTTTGTTTTGTTTTTTGAGGTAAGGTCTCACTCAGTAGCCCAGATTGGCTTTTAAGTTGTAGCAATCCTCCTTTCTCACGGAGATCCTTTCTCAGACTCCAAAGTGATGAATTACAAGATAGGGCCATCACATGCAGCTATACAGCCATGCATGATGGCACATGCCTGTAATTCAAGCACTTAAGAGGTGGAGGCAAGAAGATTAGGAGGTGCAGATCATCTTCAGCTACAAAATGAGTTTGAGGCCAGCATGAGATGCATGAGACCCCGTCTCAAAGCCAGGAACCTGAACCCTGACTCTGGTATTTTATCAGTTAGTGAGATCAGGTCCTACATGCCCTCTACCATCTTCCCAGGACTCTTTCTCACCCCAGCGCTCCAGCACTTCATCTTGGACTGCTGGGGAAGAGTCGCTTTGTTGCTGCAGCTTGCTGAGCCCATGCCTCTACTAATTCCATCTTTCTGTCCTCATCTGTTGGTTGGTTGTTATTCGATGACTGTTTGCACGCAAGGAGGGAGTTCTAAAGACTGAACCAAGAAAAAGAAGGTTCTCATTAGCCACTGAGTTCATCTGTAATTTGTACAATAATTTAGATGTTTTATGTCATAAAAAGTGTGCTGCAATGCCGCTTAATCATAGCTCTAATAGAAGAAAAAAGAAGTAGGGTGATAAACAACCTTAAACAATGGAAGATTCCCTAGACATCAAAAACTTTGGGGCTTTGTTGATAGTGGTGAAATGCTTTTAAAGGCCTACACGTTGCTCCTGAAAAGCTCACATTCTACAAAACCATGTACTAGATGTAAATAAAAGTTATGAGGGAAGGATTATAAGCTGACCATTTAAAGTCCAACTTAAATTTTTTAAAAAAAAAAATAGATGCCCAGCAGTGGTGGTGCATGTCTTTAACCCCAGCACATGGAGGCAGAGGCAGGTGGATCTCCGTGAGGTTGAGGCCAGCCTGGTCTACAGAACGAGTTCCAGGACAAAGTTCCAAAGCTACACAGGGTAACCCTGTCTTGGAAAAAAAAAAAAACCAGCAACAACAACAAAAACTAGAAACCTATCTAACTTTGTAGCACTAATAATAATAACAGCCCTAGCCAGATTCTAGCTCACCTGGAATCCCAGCACTTGAAGGCATACACATGAGAAACCCCACAAGTCCACATAGTAAGTGCCAGGCCAACCTGGATGACAGAGTGAGACCCTGTCATAAAAAGCCAAAATACTAAATAAAGTAATACCACCATAGTTAGCTCTCCAGCAATTTTTGTACCCACAGCCTTATTCTTGGGGTTAATGTTTCCTTTAGGCTCTAAAGTCCTAAAAAATGCTTGCTTTTCATAGAGATTAATTTTGTCAAAAGTGAAGATACTATCTAAGGCTGTCTTCTTCAGTTATTTGGTGTTTTGTTTTTATTTGATTGCAGTGAAATACCTTTGAATCCTCATTTGCCTTTGCCCTTTTCCCTGACCTGTAACACAGTGGGAAGTGGCAGCTCCTAAAGTCAGAAAACTTCTTGCAGGAAGCACCTAGGATTCCTGTCTCTTCTTTCATTGACGTATTGGCACTGTGTCCTCTTTTATCATAAGGAATCTTGTCCATGATGAAAAGCTGGCATATGAGCTAATATGTCTTCTGTGTTAGCTGATACATGCCCACATTTTTCAGTCTCACTAAGCTAAAGTACTTTGAAACAACATGCTTTGTAGCAGAGTGACTTATGTTTATTTCAGCCCTCAATGAATCTGTGAACTCATTGAGGACAGAAATTGGCTCAGACACATCAGTGTTTTCCAACAGTGCCTGGCATTGTGCCTTCTGGGGTCTTAAAATGTATTTTTTGGCTTAAATTATATGCTTCACTGTATAATAAATATAAATATGTGTCATGTAGGAAGGCCCTTATGTAAGGATGAGAAAAGTCCAAACATGACTTACTCTGTCCCTTTGCTTACAGCTCCTGCCTCTTAGATTTTACATTATCCATTTTAGAGATTACATGCTATTACACACATGTTTCTTTTAACCATCTTGAGACCTGTTGTTTCTTCTGGTGTTTCTTGAAGATTAAGCCCAGCCCTGTGTAAGTCTACAAGCTTGTGCCTATTTATATACAGTGGGGTGAACAGCACTAAAAGAAAGCTGCCTTTGACCAGAAAGTGGTTGTTTCTGTTGTGCACTGTATCAACTGAAGTGGAAGTCGTCTGTGTTCCTTACGTCACCAGGGAGATGACTCAGGCTATCAGGAAAGGCAAGAGCAACAGTTGCTGAATTATATTCCTATTTAATTCTTCCATTGAAGAAGAAGCATTTGCTGTCCTGTAGTTGAAAAAGAATGGCCTATGTGTTAGCTGAGATGTGTGTCTACCACTCAATAAGCTTGAGGTCGTGGGCATTACACAGAGGTCACTCAAGTGGCAGGGTTAGCACTGGCTCTGTCTTTCTTCAGAATGTGAAGAGACTCCTGCAGAACCCTAAAGTCACAGAATTGGATGCAGCTCGTCTGGTGATGCTGTATGCTCTACATTATGAGCGACACAGCAGCAACAGCCTGCCAGGACTCATAGTGGACCTCAGGAGTAAAGGTGTTTCCGAGAAGTACCGAAAGGTAATCTGGTGTGTGTGCCTGTGTGTGTTTTATTTTAATTGAGCGAGGGCCTCACTATGTATCCCAGGGGGAACCTTACACTTAAGGTCTCCCTACCAGCCTCCCAGATGCTAGAATTACTGGCAAGTGCTGGTTGCTAAAATTCCTTCCCAGGGGGAGATTTAAGCAGTGTCTACCCCTCCTCCTAAGGTCCCAACCACAAGCCAAGACACAGTTCTGCCAAAGTTTACTCCAGGGAACCAATTGGTTTTTTGGGCTTCCTTAGAGAGAATAGATGAGGGATAACATACAGGGGTGTGGGTGCTCCTCCCCCAAAAGGCCATGCCTGGAAAGCCTTTACCCAGCAAGGATAAGGGCTCCCCATAGCTGCAGAGGTGGTATTCCCTTCTCTAGTCTCCCCTCCTTCCTGATACCATCTACTTTAAGGCAGAGTGGCATACAGCAGGTGGTTAGGAGCCTCTGGATACTCAGGTGACGGGGCACAAGCAGTCAGCTTGCCCAGCTGGGAGTCCCTAATGGCAGTTGGCTGGCGTAGAGAACAATCACTTATAACATAGCACAATACCCAATGCCAAATTTACATTAAGCCCAAACCCTAGGAACCAAGTCTGTTAGTCTCAGTCCCCAAAAGGGTAAACCATACTATTTATTTACAAGGAGTATAATTCTGTCCACTCATGTCTTCATTGTCTTAATAAAGTTATTTTTTGATGAAATGAGCTTCCTGATACCTAAGCAATAAAAGATTGTCCCCCTTTTTTTGTCTTACAGCTTGTGTCAGCAGTTGTTGAATACGGTGGTAAACGGGTTAGAGGAAGTGACCTCTTCAGCCCCAAAGATGCTGTGGCTATAACCAAACAGTTTCTCAAAGGATTGAAGGTACAGTTTCTTGTTTTTTTTTTTTTTTCTCTGCTTTCCTAAATGAGAATAGTTAAAAACCCTGAGGCTGAGCGTGAACTGATAATGATTTTAAAAGTATACTACTGATGGTAGTGCTGTGTTCACCCAGTGAAATCAAAGCAGACAGTCTCTTGAAATGTTACCTTCTGTGCTGCAGTGTGCCTGCACTGGGCCAGGGAGCTGAGTGGGGAATAACTGAACATGATTCCAGGAAGTGTAAACAGTTCTGATAGTCACGGCTCTCTTTATTGTGTTTGTAATTTAAAATTTGTTTAAGCTCTCTCTGTCTCTCTGTCTCTCTGTCTCTCTGTCTCTCTCTCTCTCTTCTCTCTCTCTCTCTCTCTCTGCCGTCCATCCCAAAAGAATGTGATTCAGACAAGATAAAAGATTACAGATTTTTTAGTACCTTGAAAAGTTTATTGAAAACTTATTGAAAATAACTAGCTTTAAATTTAGTACTTTTGGCCAGGGAGTGGTGGCCATGCCTTTAAACTCAGGAGGCAGAAGCAGGGGGATCTCTGTGAGTTTGAGGCCAGCCTGGTCTATAGAGTGAGTTCCAGGACAGCCAGAGCTACACAGAGAAACCCTGTTTCAAAAAACAAAACTTAGTACTTTTGTAAGACTGGAACATTTTTTCTAATTAAAATAATTTTTTTGTTTTTTGTTTTTTTATTTTTTCGAGACAGGGTTTCCCTGTGGCTTTGGAGGCTGTCCTGGAACTAGCTCTTGTAGACCAGGCTGGTCTCGAACTCACAGAGATCCACCTGCCTCTGCCTCCCAAGTGCTGGGATTAAAGGCGTGCACCACCAACGCCCGGCTAATTTTTAAATATTCTAAAATTCAGGGCTGGGGAGATGGTACATTTGGTTAAATGTTTGCTACTCAAACCTGAGTTTAGATTCCCAGCAAACACACAGAAAACAAATACAGTGGTATGCATCTGTACCCCCAGTGCTGAGAATGGGGGCAGGGTCCCTGGAGCTCTCTGGCCGGCCAATCTAGCCAAAGCTGTGAGCTCCAAGTTCAATAAGAGATTCCATCTCAAAAAATATGGTAGAGAGCCATGAGGAAGACCCTAGTGCTGACTCTGACACCTATGCACACACATGCACCTTGACCCACCTGTGCATATACACACAAACGTCCTATTTGATTGTTTGATTCCTATCCAATTCATATTCGATTCTGTCCCACAAAGTTTCTGTTGAGTATATGTCCCTTTTCTGATGTATCATTAAATGTTATATTGCTAGCTTCCCCAAAATAACACAAGAACCATTTCCATATTTTAGGGAGTGGAAAATGTGTATACACAACATCAGCCTTTCCTGCATGAGACCCTGGACCATCTCATCAAAGGAAAGCTTAAGGAAAACCTCTACCCTTATTTAGGCCCCAGCACCCTCAGAGACAGGTAAGGTGACAAAGATTAGAAATAAAAACTGGGACCCTAGAACAAGCCAGAGAAACTAGAAGGGCCTAAGACATCCAGATCTTGGACTTGAAGAAAAGAACCAAACTACCACGTAGGGAAGGACGAGTGGGTGCTTCCAGGTGCTCAGTTCTGAGTCCAGTAATTGTAAAATATCTGAATCTGGAGTGCCAGTGAACCTGGAAGAGGACTCTGGGCTTAAGATGAGATCCTAATCTTGACTGGCGGCTTGATTTCAGCTTGATAAAACCTGAGCAAAGAACTCAGATCTAACATATGTGTGGGCTTTGACCCACAGAAACCATAAGTCTATAAACTCTGTGGCTTTTAAGGTATCACAAATTGGTCAGCTTGACTTACCAATGTTCAAGATTGGTCTGGCATTGTAGGCCTGAAATCTGGGTATTATGGAGGCTGAGGCAGTAGGACAGCAAATTCAAGGCCTGCTGAGGCTACAGAGTGAGTTCAAGACCACCACACCTGGATTACTTAGACCCTGTTTCAGATTTTAAACATGTGGAAGAAGTGTGTGGTTTTAAGTGAGAAGAGAGAGATGAGAAAATAACTCAGTAGATGTATGCTCATCTACCATGCCTGGGGCTCTGGATTTACTCCCAGTTATTCAAAAATTAAAATATTTTTAAAAATTTTAGTGTTCATACTTAGTCTGAATAAAATATTTCTGTGTTCACTGTTCAGAACACACATTACAAACATACAAGAAGCAATTTTTTGATGATGTAACAACCTATGTAAGAGTTTGGTTTTCAGTGATTTTCAAGACAGAAGCTGATTATTTACAAAATGAAGATTTAAATTTATGTATTTTCTGAGAGGCGTTATCAAAGATTTTCTCTGAACTCTGAAGATTTCTTTATTTCTTTTATTTTTTTTTTGGGGGGGGGGGGTTGAGACAGGGTTTCTCTATGACTTTGGAGGCTGTCCTGGAACTAGCTCTTGTAGACCAGGCAGTTCTCGAACTCACAGAGATCCACCTGCCTCTGCCTCCTGAGTACTGGGATTAAAGGCATGTGCCACCAACGCCTAGCTGAAATTTCTTTATTTCTAGCATATAAATGTGTGGTCTTATTCTACCAACTCTCTAGTACTTTGTTACATAACAATGAAAAATAGATTAAAAAAAAAAAAAAACTAGAGGAGCTAGTAAGGTGCTTGCCACCAAGCCTGACAACCTCAGTTCATTTCCAGGACCTACATGGTGAAGGAGAGAATGAAATCCTGAAATTTCCAGGACCTACATGGTGAAGGAGAGAATGGAATCCTGAAGTTGTCCTCTGACCTAAGACACACACTCCATGGTGCAGATGTATTCTCTCTCTCTCTCTCTCTCTCTCTCTCTCTCTCTCTCACACACACACACACACACACACACACAGAGAGAGAGAGAGAGAGAGAGAGAGAGAGAGAGAGAGAGAGAGAGAGAGATTTGTAGAGAAAACAGAATTTAGACCACTGTTTTGATCACACTGAGATGTTGACCACTGCCCCCTTCTGCTGTTTCAGGCTGAAGAATCTTTGGGTTTTGCATATGTTGGCATTATGTGTGAGCTCCTCTGCCAAGCCTGAGTCATTTACTTGCTTTGGAATAAAGAAGCAGGTGTTTTAAATCCCTCAGACCCCTCCCTATATTCTGTGTTTGAGCAGCATATCAGTTTCCTCTTAAGCTCTATAGCACCTGTCATTTGGTGTTTCAGACATTAATGCCCAAAATAGATTTGCGACTTGATTGCCAGCCAGAGTGTGTTGTTGCTGGTTTGGGTGAGGATTGGACTTTGCCAAGTGTGACCAACACACAAACTGAGAGGCCTGACTAGAAAAGCCATATGTGTCCCAGGAGAAAATGACTTTCTTTAGTTAGAACGTTAATCTAGTGGTTAGTTAATTTTAATAAAAACAAAACTTGTCCAGACCAATTTACTTAAACCAACTTAAAATTTACATGCATACAAATTCTAGCTAGTTAAGAATTATTTATATTGGACCACATAATATAAAGGGCCCAGCATATACAGTTGTATCTGTTGGGTAATTTAATGTGAGAATTTTACTGTTGATATAATTCATCTTTTATTTATTTGTTTATTTATTCAACCATTAATTATCTAAGAGCATTGGCAGTTTAGTGTTTTATAGATATAATGTAATTCAGAAAAGGGAAAATGTTCAGAGATTTATAGGTGAATGAATTTTGTGCGTTGTATTTTTTTTCTTTTAGTCCCTTAAAAAGAAAACTATTTGGTTTGTTTATTTATTTATTTGTTGCTTTTCCAGACAGGGTTTCTCTCTGTAGCTTTGGAGTCTGCCCTGGAACTCACTCTGTAGACTAGGCTGTCTTGGAACTCACAGAGATCTGCCTGCCTCTGTCTCCCAAATGCTGGAATTAAAGGTGTGTGCCACCACCGCCCTGCCAGAATTTTTTTTAAATACAAGATTAACACCAGATGTTATGGGTGGGAGTACAACCCAATCACTCTAACAAACTGTCTAGGGACCATGCATTAAGATCCAGAGGTGTTCACCAATAACAAAAATGAAAACTGCACCAAATTTCTCACCTATTTGAGAAACTTTTGAAAACCCTTGTTCTTGAGGCTTTTAATTAATTTGATAAGACATTAATGTGCTTATAGATTTCATATGAGAATTACTGGGTGCAGTTAAGAGTATTCACTACTCTTCTAGAGAGCCTAGCACTCATAACCTCTTTCAACTCCAACTCCAAAGGATTCCACACTCTCTTCTGGCCTCTATGGGCACCACACATACATAGCATATGCTCATACAGACACATACATAAAAATCTTTAAAAAAATTAAAGAATTGCTGAATGAAAAACTAGCTACTTATTGCCAAAAGGAAGCCATGGACCAGATGAGTATATTAGTGTACATCAGCAAACCTTCCTGTTCTGAGTCATTGCCAAACAAAGCTCAAAATGATGTTCTCCCCCTCAGTGCTTATTAGCTGTTGGCATCTGTTAGCATTTGTCACTGTGATCTAAACATGTACACAGTTAATTATGTTGCTTTATTCTTTGATACAACAGATGTTTATTGAATGCTTTCAGTATGTTAAAAATTGTTTTAGACACGAGGACTGTAGAAGTGGCAGCAAAGACATGGTATTTACCCTTAAGGTCCCTTTTAGAGTAAACAAAAGTGCTGCAAAAGAAAGAATGGAATGGTAAGCTACAAAGAAACTATGGGGCCAGGGAAGTTTAGAGTGGACAGAACGTCTCTAAAGATGTGGTATTTAAAATGGATTTTCAATTACAAAATTAAAGCCAGACATAGTGACTAGAAATGGCAACTTAAGTTGGGCGTTGGTGGCGCACACCTTTAATCCCAGCACTCAGGAGGCACAGGCGGGCAGATCTCTGTGAGTTCAAGGCCAGCCTGGTCAACAGAGCAACTGCTAGGCTAGTCTTCAAAGCTACACAGAGAAACCCTGTCTTGAAAAAATAAAAATAAAAAAAGAAAGAAAGATATTGGATTGCTAGTGAAAAACAAAGGGAGACTTCTGGAGGAGGTTGCCGGAGTCCACATAAGCTGTGAAAGTGGCCTGGAAGGAAGGAAAAGCAATCTGTTTAAGAAAGCACATGGATAGAGCATGAGTAACAGAAACCAAGGGTAATGCTCAGGTTTTGAGGAGAAATTAGGAATTTTGTTGAAGTGCCTATTTAATAATAAAATACAAATGTCACCTATACTAGGTGGGGTGGCCCACACAAGCACTAAAGAGCCTGAGACAGAAAGTTAAAGGTTTCCCTACATTCCATAGCAAGACCTTATTACAAAACCATTCTGTGTTAAGTTGAGGGCTGATAAGTCTTTGGTCATATAGATTAGATAGGACCTCTAAAGGAGAAAGAGAAAAGAAGGTTGCTCAGAATGCAGCACTGAACACAGGCCAGGAGTCAGACTGCACAGGACAAACCAGAACAGAGGCAGGGAGTCTTAAAGACAAGCACATGGTAGGCCATGTCCAGTCTTCTGAGAGGTAAAGCCCCTTTCAATTTAGTGGGAAGGTTGTTGGTGGTCCCCAAGTGTCAGTAATATTTGGAAGCCCAGTTTCTGTGAGTTTAGAAGCTAACTTAGGAAGTTGTATAGGCTAAGAGATGAGATATGAGCATGTGTTTGAATCTAATTTACTACAAAAATTTAAATAGAATTTCCATAGGAGTCAAATGCCTATTAGTAGACATTGGTTTAAAATATACCAAGTGACCCAATTGTATGGTTTTCAATGACCCTTTTAACTATACAAGGTTAAACTTGAAGAAGGCAGATAGGTCCAACCAGGATTCTCGAAAGTGGAAATCGGAAGAAGGACTGGTGGTTATATTGGAGGTCCAGAATGCTATTGCATATGACTATATAGGGAGGTTTTAAGTTGATGGGTGATTACTGGGGGAAGGAGATCTTAAATTCATGATTTCATGGGTGGCCCACATGCTTGTAATGATGAAGTTGAAGCTGTAATATGGATGGCGTATTAGTAGAGGTGAAGCTGCGGTAGCTTAGGGATTAGGTGTCGAGCTGTCAAAGTCCCTGGAAGTGTTGAAAACAAAGTGGAGAGGAGAACGGTGAGCAGAGCTAGGTCTCCAGAGAGTGAGGGTGGCCAGGAAAGGAGGTGGGAAAAACAGCACAATGTGTTAGAGGCATCTAAGTCATCTGAGGAAACTTTGAAGAAGGAGACAGAGAAATGCTCCAAACTAGTTGAGGACATAGAAGATACTATATTCTATTTATTGCCACTTCTGAGCTCTGCTTAGCAGAAGCAATAGAGAGAGCACTTGAAAAGCACAACAATCCCAATTCTGAAAGTTTATCCTGTAAACAAATACCCATGCACAAGTACACAAAGACATGTAAACCCGGTGTTCACTGAAACAGTAACCATCTGGAGACAGGCTAACACCCACCAACAGAAGACTGGTACTCAGTTACAGCTCAGAACTA